AGTGGCTGCCTGCCCTGCACAGATTGAGGGCACTCACCCCCATGCCTCCTGGGACGCATGCAGTGGTGGGAGCTGCCAACCCCTCCCTGCACTCCGTCCTTCCCTGGCTATGCAGAGCCTGGTGGGGTAGGTGCAGGGGTCCCAGAGGCTCTGTCCCCTCTGGCCCAGCAGTGCAGCCAAGGCTGGTCCTGCTCTGGCCCCCTGCTTTGAGCCCTGGGCCAGTGTAGGGAGGCAGCTGGGGCCAGTTCCAGGCTGGGGGACGGTGAGTTCATTGGCACCAGCACTGAGCAATGACACCAGGCATGGGGAAAGGGGCGGCTGCATGGGTGCAGTGGGCCCCAGCCCTGATCCCAGGCCTGGCTCAGCTCCATCCCAATCCCTGTCCGGTCCTATCCCCAACCCTATTCCCTCTCCCTCCCCCCCCAACCTTTCCCCCCACAGACGTTCCCACCCGGGGGGGGGTGCACACGTGCTCAGCCTCCCCCTGCCCCCCCAAACATTTTCTCCCTCCGCCTATGACCAGGGCTAGCTGGCGCATGAGGGTGCAAAAGTGCAGGCACTGCCTGCTTCCTACCCCACACTTTAGTACCCTTATGCCCCAGCCAGCCCCTCCACCACCTGATGCTGGCACCCAGAGCCTTGGGCTGACCCCCTGAACTCCCTGCCAGCCTGGTGCTGCTCTACCCTGGCTCTAACTACTGTGGTCTCGGGCACACATGAAGACGCTATGCCCAGGAGTAGCTGACTCCAGTGTGAACTGGGTTGGAGTTTATTCAGGTGCATTAATTAATTGCATGTGTACATGCACCCAGTTAGACAAGCCTGCAAGGAGACCTGCATTGCCAGCCACTGCATCACATACCGTCCACCTACGTTCCACCTGCTCAGAGAAGGATCGGGGCCTTGAAGTAAACACTGGTTTGTCCAGTAGGGGTGAGTTCCAGAGGGTCACCTTAGGTACCACAATGTCTAAAAATTAGTTGCCTCACCCCAGCAGGGTGGTTCAAGCAAACATGGCCAGGCACCAAGGTTATCTGAGTAGTCAGTGGAAGGACTTAGGTACTTCTGAAGGGTTATCCACAAAAATCCATGCCGCAGGAAGCTTGTTGCCCACGTATGTTGAGTGGCATAACCACTAGGCTACTGAATGGGGTTCCCTCTAACTTTCTGTCTTTCTGGCCTCATAATTTTGCACTCTTGTCCCCCCCCCCCCCCAAAAATTTTT